ATTATATATAACTATTCCCAGTTGTAACAAACATTGAAATAACAAAAAAAATAATTTGATAATAGGAATAATATTAAAAAATATATTATTTATCAACAATAATAAAATAATATGAATATAATATTTTATTAATTATTATATTATTTCTCAATAAAAATATTAATGTAATTAAAAATATACTAATAATAATATTTGTCTATATAATAATTAGATTATTGATTAAAATAATTTTTATAATGTTACATAAAACAGTATTAATAACAATAGCAGCTCTGTCAACCTAACTAAATTAATAATTTAGTTCTAAGAACTATATCTTATGATAAACTAATTGAAAAGGAAGCTAAATACTCAAATACTCATACAAAATACTAGTTATAACCTAGAGTTAATTACAGTCCTATGTACAGGAGCTGAAGGTCCTGTATAACGGAAGCCCTCCATGGGGCTCGAACGCAGTCAAGACAATGTTCACAGGAGTTCACAGGAGCACACGTATCCAGCCCATATAGATCACTGAATTAAAACTTGAAGAGGTAATTCTATAGGAATATAGTTAAATCTTGCCATTTACAACACCTGTATCTCCTATACAACACCTGTATCTCCTATACAACACCTGTATCTCCTATACAACACCTGTATCTCCTATACAACACCTGTATCTCCTATACAACACCTGTATCTCCTATACAACACCTGTATCTCCTATACAACACCTGTATCTCCTATACAACACCTGTATCTATCCTGTATACAAACACCTGTATCTCCTATACAACACCTGTATCTCCTATACAACACCTGTATCTCCTATACAACACCTGTATCTCCTATACAACACCTGTATCTCCTATACAACACCTGTATCTCCTATACAACACCTGTATCTCCTATACAACACCTGTATCTCCTATACAAAACCTGTATCTCCTATACAACACCTGTATCTCCTATACACCTATACACCTGTATCTCCTATACAACACCTGTATCTCCTATACAACACCTGTATCTCCTATACAACACCTGTATCTCCTATACAACACCTGTATCTCCTATACAACACCTGTATCTCCTATACAACACCTGTATCTCCTATTAGAATGTTTTACAGCAACGTCTTTCCCCACGACCTATAAAACCGAGGAAAGAGTCCTAAAAGATATTATTAAAAGGAACGTTTTCTCAACAGACACCAAGATGCAACTAACAATTTGCTACAAAAAACAAGAAGACGGCAAACTTGCTTGTGAAAAACTCTCCAGACACCAAAAAAAGCGCCTTAAGAGAAACCAACATCGTCTATGCCTTCACATGCCCACTTGGGGACTGTCAGCCCCAACGATCTCAGTATATAGGCAAGACAACAACGTCTCTCTCTCTCTGGGCGATTAACAATGCATAAGCAACAGGGCTCCATCAAGGAACATATAATCTCCTCTCACAATCAGACTATCACCAGAGAAATCCTAACAAGCAATACAGAAATCATCGATAGAAACAGCGATAGCAGAAGACTCGACATCAGCGAGGCCCTACACATCAAAAAGTCAACACAACCAATCAACAGCCAATTAACGCATAACTATATTTTTCCCACTTCAAATCCGCGAACCAACATAGAAGCAGCAAGAGGAAGTATGGGCCTGTAAGCCTTCTGTAGTTACTTCCATTCTTATTGATGATTGATAAAGATTAAGCTACCCAAGACGTGGCACGGGCATGAATAGCCCGTAATTCCATTCTTATGTTTTCATAACCAATTTATACCCAACTCACCCAAAACAAATATAAGCATGATGTATGTCATGTGTAAACCAGTCTTTGAAAATGTAAAAAGCCTTACGAAACGCTTTTAGGCGTCAGACCAGGAATAAAAATGTAAAAAGGGAATTTTGAAGAGTTAATTTTTCAATTACCCCCGACAGTGAAGAAAAACGTAAGAAATATTGAGAAGATTCGTGTTAGAATTATTAATCTTACACTTTCACACTTTCGGTCATATTCAACAACATATGTTTACATATATATATATATATATATATATATATATATATATATATATATATATATATATATATATATATATTATATATATATATATATATATATATATATATATATATATATATATATATATATATATATATATATATATATATATATATATATATATATATATATATATATATATATTTTCAACTCGGTCAAAAGGGAAGCAATCCTCACTGCAGTCCAGGAACATTGCCCAAGCATTCTCCCGTTTGTGTCAGCAGGCTACAGCAAAGACTCAACCCTCCTGTTTGGCAAACATGAAGTCACCTCAGCAGAGGGAATTCAACAGGGAGACCCACTTGCACCGTTCCTCTTTTGCATAGCGGTTCGAGAAATTACAACCAGGCTGTCCAGTGAACTCAACATCTGGTTTCTGGATGATGGCACTCTGGCAGGCACACAAGATTCCCTACTGGAAGACCTACAGCTGGTGAAGACACGGGGGGAGTCCATGGGTCTCGTTCGTAACCCCTCTAAGTGCGAAATTATTGCATCCAGCGAAGTAATTATTAGAGCAGTGAAATCAGTTTTACCAGAAGCCTCAGTCATTAAACCCACCGACAGCACACTACTTGGAGCACCTCTGGGCCACAATGCCATTGCTGCAGTCCTTGACGAAACGTTTAGAGACCTAAAGAGGATGGAAAAGAGAATAGGGGACTTGGACTCCCACGATGCCCTCTACCTTCTCATATATGTGCAGAATAACCACATGTGAAAAATAGAAAATGCTTAACGCGTTTTCGGCTAATTCGCCTTCATCAGAGCAAAGTGGAATAAAGATAAGAAAACATTGCTTATCAGACCTTTATATCCGCCTGGGCAGATCACCTGACCACCAAAAATAAGTGGAGGAAAGGAATTATAAGAAAGAAGGTAACTGCAGAAGGCCTATTGGCCCATACGAGGCAGCTCCTATTATTGTATTAATACATGATGTATTAACATATATATATTAATACATCTTCAGAAGGAGTCCTGTACGTGTATACCGAACCTATTAACTCCTTCTGAAGATGTATTAATATACGAAAGTACATAAGGAAATTCCTGTTTCAATTCTTCCTCCGTGGTCTGACACTGTCACATTTTTAATCACGTGTTAATTTTTCGTGATTTACACACACACACACACACACACACACACACACACACACACACACACACACACACACACACACACACACACACACACACACACACACACACACACACACACACACACACACACACACACACACACACACACACACACACACACACACACACACACACACACACACATACACACACACACACACACATATATATATATCAAATATGTGTGTATTTGCCCTGCAAGATTGAGCTGTTAGCTCTTGGACCCCGCCTCTCTAACCGTCGGTTATCTATTGTACTGACTCTCTATACCTATTTTCCTTAATCATATCTACTACACGTATTTATCTTTGCCCCCCCCCCCCCACACACACACACAGTGGAAATAGACGAAATGTTCACACGGAATAGTAACAGAACGAGGGGACATGGATGGAAGCTGGAAACTCAGATGAGTCACAGAGATGTTAGGAAGTTTTCTTTTAGCGTGAGAGTAGTAGAAAAATGGAATGCACTTAAGGAACAGGTTGTGGAAGCAAATACTATTCATAATTTTAAAACTAGGTATGATAGGGAAATGGGACAGGAGTCATTGTTGTAAACAACCGATGACTGGAAAGGCGGGTTCCAAGAGTCAATGTTCGATCTTGCAGACACAAATAGGTGAGTACACACAGAATGCGGCCCGTAGCAGCTATATAAGTTCTAGGGATCTGTTTACTCCTAGGTTAACAGAGGCATCAGGTGAAAGAAACTCTGCCTATTTGTTCGTGCAGAAGCAAAAATGTATGTGTGTGTGTATTCACCTAGGTGTATTCACCTAGTTGTGCTTGCGGGGGTTGAGCTCTGCTCTTTCGGCCCGCCTCTCAACAATCAATTAATCAACTGTTGCTCACTACTTCCCCCCCCCCCACACACACACACCCCTCAGGAAGCAGCTCCGTAACAGCTGACTAACTCCCAGGTACTTATAAATAAATAAATAAATAAATAAATGTTTATTTAGGTAAGGTACATACATACAAGAGATTTTACAAAGATTGTTGGATTAATAGATAGAGCTAGTACATACAGTGCCTAAAGCCACTATTACGCAAAGCGTTTCAGGCAGCACTTATTTACTGCTGGGTAACAGGGGCATTCAGGATGAAAGAAACTTTGCCCATTTGTTTGTGCCTGGTGCGGGAATCGAACCGTGTGTTTGTGTGTGTGAGAGAGAGAGAGAGAGAGAGAGAGAGAGAGAGAGAGAGAGAGAGAGAGAGAGAGAGAGAGAGAGAGAGAGAGAGAGAGAGAGAGAGAGAGAGAGAGAGAGAGAGAGAGAGAGAGAGAGAGAGAGAGAGAGAGAGAGAGAGAGAGAGAGAGAGAGAGAGAGAGAGAGAGAGAGAGAGAGAGAGAGAGAGAGAGAGAGAGAGAGAGAGAGAGAGAGAGAGAGAGACAAATATGTGTAGTAGATATGATATGTATGAGATATTCCTTCTTTCTAAGATCACCGAGGCAAAAATTATGACAGAATGACCCTGACCAAATTAAATAATAGTGGACAGCACGTGGCTACTAGAGTTCAACTCAAGCAAGTGCAACGTAACCCAGCTACATAGCCTCCTGGAATGGAAGCTGGGCTATGGAACCCCCCCCCCTGGAAAGCAAGGTACGATAACGGGTGAAGAGGGGGGGGGAAACCCTCTTGGATATCAAGATAGCGAAAATGACTTGCGGGTTGATATCGTCCAAACCATGGCGGCAGCTGGGTTCGAACCACGGTCATCAGTGTGCAAAGTTGACCAACATACCAATCGCCCTTTTTGCAATCTGATAAAAAAAAGTAGTTTAGGACGCTGTGTATCATGACACAGCAGTGCTCAGTACGTCCAGTCAGTGCTCAGTACCTCCAGCCAGTGCTCAGTACCTCCAGTCAGTGCTCAGTACCTCCAGCCAGAGCTCAGTACCTCCAGTCAGTGCTCAGTACCTCCAGTCAGTGCTCAGTACCTCCAGTCAGTGCTCAGTACCTCCAGCCAGTGCTCAGTACCTCCAGTCAGTGCTCAGTACCTCCAGTCAGTGCTCAGTACCTCCAGCCAGTGCTCAGTACCTGCTGCCAGTGCTCAGTACCTCCAGCCAGTGCTCAGTACCTCCAGCCAGTGCTCAGTACCTCCAGCCAGTGCTCAGTACCTCCAGCCAGTGCTCAGTACCTGCTGCCAGTGCTAAGTACCTCCAGCCAGTGCTCAGTACCTCCAGCCATTGCTCAGTACCTCCAGCCAGTGCTCAGTACCTCCAGTCAGTGCTCAGTACCTCCAGCCAGTGCTCAGTACCTCCAGTCAGTGATCAGTACTTCCAGCCAGTGCTCAGTACCTCCAGTCACTGATCAGTACTTTCAGCCAGTGCTCAGTACCTCCAGTCAGTGATCAGTACTTCCAGCCAGTGCTCAGTACCTCCAGTCAGTGATCAGTACTTCCAGCCAGTGCTCAGTACCACCATCACTGCTCAGTACCACCATCACTGCTCAGTACCTCCAGCCAGTGCTCAGTACCTCCAGCCAGTGCTCAGTACCTCCAGCCAGTGCTCAGTACCTCCAGCCAGTGCTCAGTACCTCCAGCCAGTGCTCAGTACCTGCTGCCAGTGCTCAGTACCTCCAGCCAGTGCTCAGTACCTCCAGCCATTGCTCAGTACCTCCAGCCAGTGCTCAGTACCTCCAGCCAGTGCTCAGTACCTCCAGTCAGTGATCAGTACTTCCAGCCAGTGCTCAGTACCTCCAGTCAGTGCTCAGTACCTCCAGTCAGTGCTCAGTACCTCCAGCCAGTGCTCAGTACCTGCTGCCAGTGCTCAGTACCTCCAGCCAGTGCTCAGTACCTCCAGCCAGTGCTCAGTACCTCCAGCCAGTGCTCAGTACCTCCAGCCAGTGCTCAGTACCTGCTGCCAGTGCTAAGTACCTCCAGCCAGTGCTCAGTACCTCCAGCCATTGCTCAGTACTTCCAGCCAGTGCTCAGTACCTCCAGTCAGTGCTCAGTACCTCCAGCCAGTGCTCAGTACCTCCAGTCAGTGATCAGTACTTCCAGCCAGTGCTCAGTACCTCCAGTCACTGATCAGTACTTCCAGCCAGTGCTCAGTACCTCCAGTCAGTGATCAGTACTTCCAGCCAGTGCTCAGTACCTCCAGTCAGTGATCAGTACTTCCAGCCAGTGCTCAGTACCTCCAGTCAGTGCTCAGTACCACCAGTCAGTGCTCAGTACCTCCAGCCAGTGCTCAGTACCTCCAGCCAGTGCTCAGTACCTCCAGCCAGTGCTCAGTACCTCCAGCCAGTGCTCAGTACCTCCAGCCAGTGCTCAGTACCTGCTGCCAATGCTCAGTACCTCCAGCCAGTGCTCAGTACCTCCAGCCATTGCTCAGTACCTCCAGCCAGTGCTCAGTACCTCCAGCCATTGCTCAGTACCTCCAGCCAGTGCTCAGTACCTCCAGTCAGTGCTCAGTACCTCCAGTCAGTGCTCAGTACCTCCAGTCAGTGCTCAGTACCTCCAGCCAGTGCTCAGTACCTCCAGTCAGTGATCAGTACTTCCAGCCAGTGCTCAGTACCTCCAGCCAGTGCTCAGTACCTCCAGCCAGTGCTCAGTACCTGCAGCCAGTGCTCAGTACCTGCTGCCAGTGCTCAGTACCTCCAGCCAGTGCTCAGTACCTCCAGCCATTGCTCAGTACCTCCAGCCAGTGCTCAGTACCTCCAGCCAGTGAACAGTACCTCCAGGCAGTGCTCAGTACATCCTGCCAGTGCTCAGTATCTCAAGGCTGCTCAATACCTCCAGCCAGTGCTCAGTACCTCCAGCCAGTGCTCAGTACCTCCAGCCAGTGCTCAGTACCTTCAGCCAGTGCTCAGTACCTCCAGCCAGTGCTCAGTACCTTCAGCCAGTGCTCAGTATCTCAAGACAGTGCTCAGGTGCTGAGGTTAAACGACCCGCCGAATCGTTTAACAACTAGGTACCCATTCACTGCTGGGTGAACAGAAGGGTACAGTTAAGGATTGGCGCCCAGTCAATCCTCCCCGGCCGGGATACGAACCCAGGACCAAATCGCTTGTGAACAGCCGAGAGAGTGTTTTACCACTGCGCCACGCGGACTACAAATGTACGATAGACATTATTATTATTTGTTCTATTGACTGGGCTGGTTGATATAGCTTTCGTCCTCACACACAAGGGGGCACCGGTTCGAATCTCCTAGAGCTAAGGTGAAATTATTATTATTATTTTATTATTATATAAAACCGCAATATTTTATTATTAAAATGTATAATAATATTAATCGAATAATATTATTAAAATTAATGCTTAAAAATAATTATAATAATTATATTACTTACAACAACAACAATAATAATATTATTTATATATTTATTAATTTTAATTCGTGTTACATTAACCTCAAAAATTATTAATATGTTTAATGTTAGAATCAAACTCAAATTACTTTCATCTATTTCTAAAAAATATTCTTCTTTTGAACATTTATCATTATGTTAGAACAAGATAGAGCCAAGAACACGTGGTGTCACGATAGAGCTCCGCGCTAGTGCTCAAGAACACGTGGAGATACGATAGAGCCCCGCGCTAGTGCTCAAGAACACGTGGAGACACGATAGAGCCCCGCGCTAGTGCTCAAGAACACGTGGAGACACGATAGAGCTCCGTGCTAGTGCTCAAGAACACGTGGAGATACGATAGAGCCCCGCGCTAGTGCTCAAGAACACGTGGAGACACGATAGAGCCCCGCGCTAGTGCTCAAGAACACGTGGTGTCACGATAGAGCTCCGCGCTAGTGCTCAAGAACACGTGGAGATACGATAGAGCCCCGCGCTAGTGCTCAAGAACACGTGGAGATACGATAGAGCCCCGCGCTAGTGCTCAAGAACACGTGGAGACACGATAGAGCCCCGCGCTAGTGCTCAAGAACACGTGGAGACACGATAGAGCTCCGTGCTAGTGCTCAAGAACACGTGGAGATACGATAGAGCCCCGCGCTAGTGCTCAAGAACACGTGGAGATACGATAGAGCCCCGCGCTAGTGCTCAAGAACACGTGGAGACACGATAGAGCCCCGCGCTAGTGCTCAAGAACACGTGGAGACACGATAGAGCTCCGTGCTAGTGCTCAAGAACACGTGGAGACACGATAGAGCCCCGTGCTAGTGCTCAAGAACACGTGGAGATACGATAGAGCCCCGCGCTAGTGCTCAAGAACACGTGGAGACACGATAGAGCCCCGCGCTAGTGCTCAAGAACACGTGGAGACACGATAGAGCTCCGTGCTAGTGCTCAAGAACACGTGGTGTCACGATAGAGCCCCGCGCTAGTGCTCAAGAACACGTGGAGATACGATAGAGCCCCGCGCTAGTGCTCAAGAACACGTGGAGACACGATAGAGCCCCGCGCTAGTGCTCAAGAACACGTGGAGACACGATAGAGCTCCGTGCTAGTGCTCAAGAACACGTGGAGACACGATAGAGCCCCGTGCTAGTGCTCAAGAACACGTGGAGACACGATAGAGCCCCGCGCTAGTGCTCAAGAACACGTGGAGACACGATAGAGCTCCGCGCTAGTGCTCAAGAACACGTGGAGACACGATAGAGCTCCGCGCTAGTGCTCAAGAACACGTGGAGACACGATAGAGCTCCGTGCTAGTGCTCAAGAACACGTGCAGACACGATAGAGCCCCGCGCTAGTGCTCAAGAACACGTGGAGACACGATAGAGCCCCGCGCTAGTGCTCAAGAACACGTGGAGACACGATAGAGCCCCGCACTAGCTCCCAAAACACGTGGTGTCACTAAAGAGCCCGGCGCCAGCCCCCAACAACACGTGGTGACACTATAGAGCCCGGCGCCAGCCCCCAACAACACGTGGTGACACTATAGAGCCCGGCGCCAGCCCCCAACAACACGTGGTGACACTATAGAGCCCGGCGCCAGCCCCCAACAACACGTGGTGACACGATAGAGCCCCGCACTAGCTCCCAAAACACGTGGTGACACTAAAGAGCCCGGCGCCAGCCCCCAACAACACCTGGTGACAAGATAGAGCCCGGCGCCAGCCCCCAATAACACGTGGTTACTATAGAGCCCGGCGCCAGCCCCCAACAACACGTGGTGACACTATAGAGCCCGGCGCCAGCCCCCAACAACACCTGGTGACAAGATAGAGCCCGGCGCCAGCCCCCAATAACACGTGGTTACTATAGAGCCCGGCGCCAGCCCCCAACAACACGTGGTGACACTATAGAGCCCGGCGCCAGCCCCCAACAACACCTGGTGACAAGATAGAGCCCGGCGCCAGCACCCAATAACACGTGGTTACTATAGAGCCCGGCGCCAGCCCCCAATAACACATGGTTACTATAGAGCCCGGCGCCAGCCCCCAACAACACGTGGAGACACGATAGAGCCCCGCGCTTGTGCTCAAGAACACGTGGAGACACGATAGAGCCCCGCGCTAGTGCTCAAGAACACGTGGAGACACGATAGAGCCCCCGCGCTAGTGCTCAAGAACACGTGGTGACACGATAGAGCCCCGCACCAGCTCCCAACAACACCTGGTGACAAGATAGAGCCCGGCGCCAGCCCCCAACAACACGTGGTGACAAGATAGAGCCCGGCGCCAGCCCCCAACAACACCTGGTGACAAGATAGAGCCCGGCGCCAGCCCCCAACAACACGTGGTGACAAGATAGAGCCCGGCGCCAGCCCCCAACAACACCTGGTGACAAGATAGAGCCCGGCGCCAGCCCCCAACAACACGTGGTTACTATAGAGCCCGGCGCCAGCCCCCAACAACACGTGGTGACACTATAGAGCCCGGCGCCAGCCCCCAACAACACGTGGTGACAAGATAGAGCCCGGCGCCAGCCCCCAACAACACGTGGTGACAAGATAGAGCCCGGCGCCAGCCCCCAACAACACCTGGTGACAAGATAGAGCCCGGCGCCAGCCCCCAACAACACGTGGTGACACTATAGAGCCCGGCGCCAGCCCCCAACAACACGTGGTGACAAGATAGAGCCCGGCGCCAGCCCCCAAGAACATTAATTCGCACCTGAGACGCTTCAGCAAGATGCCGGGACAAGTTCTAGGTCCGTTGAAGACATCCGCAAGGCAGCAAGTCTTGCAAGCTGATGGTTCCCTTAACGTCGTTAGTACGACCCCGATCACCCGTGTCGAATTTCCGGCCGCCCGTCTATCGATTACAAATGGCGTGAGGGAGGGGGGATAGAGACGGGGGGGGGGGGGGTAGGGGAGGGAGGCTAGTCCTGGCTGGCTAGCTACTCTCCGAGCCGCTTTTAACAGTAACTTGTACACACACACACAACCTGACTTGCTCTCATTATCCAAGAGGTCAATATCTTGATCGGAGTGAACGTCTGAGAGCTCACTCACATCACTAAATTGTTATTTTTTAGCTTTATTGTTAAAAACTAAATAAACTGCTTAAAAAGCTTCATTTATAGGATTTTATAATGGCTGTTGGCATTGTAAATTAACGGTTCTTCATATATTTGTTGACCAGACCACACTAGAAGGTGAAGGGACGACGACGTTTCGGTCCGTCCTGGACCATTCTCAAGTCGATTGTGACTTGTATCGTCAAGTCGATTCTTGTATTTGAGTACAAAGAGGCGGGATATGACTGCTATTCGCCTTGCGGGGTGGACTCGATACCTCCCATTCGTTGCTGGGATGAACACAGGCACCGCCGCCGCTGCCCCGACCCGGGAAGGTGTAGCCCAGGTACCCCTGCACGCTCCCAGATACATTAAAAACACTGAATTAAACTGAGGTATTCAGAAGCTTCCTTGTACATCGAACGGTCCGCTGAAGGGCCATCCGGTTAACCGGTTGCTATGGGACGGGGGGAGAGTGTGTTGATCACCGGGTAATATATCACAGGAAATCATACTGCTACCGGATCGGGTGATACTAAGCGGGCAATATTAACCTAATCGCTCTGTCGGTGATTATTGACATTTGGATTCTTATCAGTATCGCTACGTTTGGATCATTATATACAGGTGAATAGTCTAAATGGTCATTACTCCCTCATGATTACAGGTAAAGACTTTAATATCATCATTACTAGCTGTTGCGAACGCAATGAAATGATTTTTAGCTGTGAATATTACCGTCTGGAACTCAAGGACTTATCAGGGGGAAAGCGCCAAGCCATTACGACTATATAGCACTGGGAAGGGGTCAGGATAAGGATTTGGGATGGGACTCGAGACTTACCTTGGAAGGGGTAGCCGGAGAAGATGGGGCGCATCTGGGAGAGGCCGAGGGCCCCTGTGGAGACGGACATCGTTGAGGGTCCGGCCAGAGGCCCGTCCTTCATCTGTGGGGTGGACTGAGATTTTCCTGTCGAAGACCTCTTCTCAGGTAGGGTTGGGGGACTATGGGGTGTGTTTTGCTGCTGGAATACGGGGGTTTCTGGGTGGAGATGGAGTGGTTGTGACTGGTAGAGGTCTCACTCTCGACGAAGTAAGGGTCGCTGGCTTGATAGGTTGAGGTCATGCAGTTGAGGTTATATTCACCACGAGTTTTAATGGCGGTGAGGCTTCCAGCTCCTCAGTCGACTTATATGCAAATCAACACCTTTGACCAGCGAGGAGTCGGTGCCGCCAGTGGGGCGCATTTATAGTGATCGAGATTGTTTAAAAATGGCACTTAATCGCGTCTGTGAGAGGCACTTAATGGCGTCTGGAAGAGGCACTTTATGGCGTCTACAAGAGACTGGCGTTTGTAGGAAACAATTAATGGCACCTGGAAGAAGCACTTTGTGTAGACTAGAAGAGGCTTACTGGCGTTTGAAAGAGGCACTTAGCGGCGTCTGGAAAACGGACTTGAGGCGTCTGGAAGAGGCACTTACTGGCGTCTGGAAGACACAATGGCGTTTGGAAGCTCTTTCTGGTGGCATAATGAATTAAAACATGTCTATGCAGTGTTATAGAACCGATGATATGGTAATTAACTTTAAGAACAAGTTATCAGCAAGATCACTTGTCCGTTTCACTGTCAGCATGACAACGTGGCCACTGGTCACTGCCACCAACGAAGACACTAATGATAACGGATGTTTACTTTATAAGGTAACGGGTCCTTGTCCAGCATTTGTCAAATCTTTCTCGAGTACACAGACGCTGGCGTCATCAAGGACTGTCTGATGTTATTATACCCATATATTTCTCTCATATATGAAATAATTCTAAATTATCGTTCCACATTCCTTTTCATTTCACTATATTACACACAAATATTCAAATATTTCGAGGCATATAAAAATAGTTGATCTAGAGAGCTCTATTATTACGTGTGAGTCACGTGTCATGGGTATGAGAGAGAGAGGTATGACCAAGGCACATTGATAAGGCACATGTGTAGGTGTTGCAGATGATCAGGCACATGTGTAGGTGTTGCAGATGATCAGGCACATGTGTAGGTGTTGCAGGAGGGCGGCGCCGGCAGGAGGGGAGGGCAGCGGCGACGCTGCTGCTTCCTGCCACCCCCTGACCATCGGGGCCTCCTCAGCCTTCCTGCAGGAGAAGATAAGACCGCTGCGTCGGCGACGTAGGCAATCCCGGAGGTGGTTGTCACAACGACACGCGTCTAGCGACACACCCGACACGACTTCCAGCCACCACTCCTCACCACACACCCGTCAATTTTCCCCACCACAGGTAAAACTTTATCCCTCCCCCCCACCAAAAAAAATTATTGCTAGTCGAAGTTCAGCGCTAAACTTCCCGTAAACACTACCATTAACTCAAAACTCGAAACGCTTCTAGCGCGCCGGTCGGCTGTGCTCCGTGTCGGGCGGCGGGTGTTTGATGTGGGTGGCGGGGCGCGGGGATTGGCTGGCTTGGTGTGGGTGGGCGGGGCCAGCGGCGCCCCCCACTTGACGCGGGGGGTCGCTAAACACACACGCACGCAGTCACGCTCCAACCCCGCCGGCGCTCTGTCCTATGCCTGTCACCTGAAACACGCGATTACACGCCCCCCTTCCTGGCTGAATTACAGCTGAAGCCTGGCCTGGCCCCCAGCGATGTGCGCGAGTCGGGCCCCGCCGCGTACTCACCGCGCATGTACGCTGGTGTAACGGGGTTATAAGGCACTTGTCGCGGATTTTTATAGATTTCCATGGCAGCGAGGAAGAGGTTGAAGGCGCTGTAGGAGGCACTCGGCCTATCTCAACGCACACGATTCAACATGGCGATTTGGAGCTAGATAAGCGCTCGCATAGAGCGCAAAGTGAGGTGCGCCGCCGCCGCGCAGGTCAGGGGAGGGGGGGTTTTGGCGCCAAAGGGCGGGGCGCCATGGCTGCCAGACGCGACGGGGCGGGCAACGCGCGCGACCTACGTCAACTCTCGCGCGGTCCACGGTTATTCAAATGAAGATGGACGGGTGGAAATCTTCATCGCCAGGATGTGTGTGGTGGTGAGGGAGACCACCCAGGTCCTGGCCACCCGCGCCCGCCCACCTGATCCCGCTAATGGGCGTGGCGGGCGGCGCTGGGGGCGGCGGCGCGGCACTCTGATCAACCCGCGCTAACCATGCGCTTCTCTCACCCCCCACATGCCCCTTCCATGCCCCACATGCCCTCCCACACTCCCACATCCCCCACATGCCCTCCCACACCCCCACATGCCCTCCCACACCCCCACATGCCCCTTCCATACCCCACATGCCCCTCCCACACCCCCACATACCCTCCCACACCCCCACATGCCCTCCCACACACCCCACATGCCCTCCACTCCCCCCAACATGCCCTCCCACACACCCCACATGCCACCCCACATGCCCTCCCACTCACCCCACATGCCCTCCCACACACCCCACATGCCCTCCCACACACCCCACATGCCCTCCCACACCCCCACATGCCCTCCCACACACCCCACATGCCCTCCCACACACCCCACATCCCCTCCCACATCCCCACATGCCCTCCCACATCCCCCACATGCCCTCCCACATCCCCCACATGCCCTCCCACATCCCCCACATGCCCCTCCCACACACCCCACATGCCCTCCCACACACCCCACATGCCCTCCCACACACCCCACAAGCCCATCCCACACACCCCACATGCCCTCCCACATCCCCCACATGCCCTCCCACACCCCTACATGCCCTCCCCACACCCCCACATGCCCTCCCACATGCCCTCCCACACACACAGACACAGTTCCTACACTATAGGGTTCCTAGCGCCCAGAACTTCCTCTCGGGGAAGGAGACGCCAGAAATATATCCTGGAACATCAGGATGATAACCTGGAACATCAGGATGATAACCTGGAACATCAGGATGATAACCTGGAACATCGGGATGATAACATGCACAATAAAATAAGTTACTGGATCAAAAGATATACAGAAGAACATGAAGAACAGACCCAGTCCAGAACTAGATAACGTAGACATAGTTATCTAACCTTATCGTTATCTAACAAAGTTTTGTTGGATATCTAACCTTAGATATCTAACATTAGTTAACCATCACAGGATAACGGATCTTCAACCTCCCCTTATCATGTATTTTCTATTTGTATTTGCAATTTGTGTCTTCAGAATCGAGCTATTAGCTCTTGGACCCCGCCTTTCTAACCAATCTATTTTTCCTCAATTATGTCTTCTACATATATTTATCTCTAACACACACGCACACACATCCCCAGCAAGCAGCCCGTGGCAGCTGTCTAACTCCCAGGTGCTTATTTATTGCTAGGTGAATAGATGCATCAGGATGATAGAAACTCTGCTCATTTGTTTCTACCTCCGCCGGGAATCGAACCCGGGCCCTTATACTACGACCAGCGAGCGTTGTGGAGGATGTGTGGGGCCGGATGCGAAGGTTCCACACATCCCACATGCACTCACACACACCCCCACATGCACTCCCACACACCCCACATGCACTCCCACACCCCACATGCACTCCCACACCCCACATGCACTCACACACACCCCACATGCACTCCCACACACCCCACATGCACTCCCACACCCCACATGCACTCACACACCCCACATGCACTCCCACACCCCACATGCACTCACACACCCCACATGTACTCCCACACCCCCACATGCACTCCCCACCCCCACATGCACTCCCACACCCCCACATGCACTCCCACACCCCACATGCACTCCCACACCCCACATGCACTCCCACACCCCACATGCACTCCCACACCCCACATGCACTCACACACCCCACATGCACTCCCACACACCCACATGCACTCCCACACCCCCACATGCACTCCCACACCCCACATGCACTCCCACACCCCACATGCACTCCCACACCCCACATGCACTCCCACACACCACATACACTCCCACACCCCACATACACTCCCACACCCCACATACACTCACACACCCCACATGCACTCCCACACACCACATGCACTCCCACCCACATGCACACACCCCCACATGCACTCCCACACCCCACATGCACTCCCACACCCCCCACATGCACTCCCACACCCCCCACATGCACTCCCACACACCACATACACTCACACACTCCACACTCACACACTCACACATACATACACTCACACACTCCACATACACACACACACACCACACACACACACACATCCACATACACTCCACACACTCCCACACCCACATGCACTCCCACACACCCCACATGCACTCCCACACCCCCCACATGCACTCCCACACACCACATGCACTCCCACACCCCCCACATGCACTCCCACACACCACATGCACTCCCACACCCCACATGCACTCCCACACACACACTCCACATACACACACACACACACTCCACATACACACACACACTCCACATACACTCACACACTCCACATACACTCACACACTCCACATACACACACACACACTCCACATACACTCACACACACTCCACATACACTCACACACTCCACATACACTCACACACTCCCCATCAAGAGAGGCGGGTCAATCCCAGACTGGTAAATACAGTCAGAATTTACATTATAAACAAAATAATACAAATTCATAACTATCGTTTCACCAAAGTTGTTATTAATCAATAAGAAATATTGACAAAAAACTAAGAACTATAATGATCTGAACATATTCCTGTATCTGTATTACTGCTATCTGTATTACTGCTATCTGTATTACTGCTATCTGTATTACTGCTATCTGTATTACTGCTATCTGTATTACTGCTATCTGTATTACTGCTATCTGTATTACTGCTATCTGTATTACTGCTATCTGTATTACTGCTATCTGTATTACTGCTGTCTGTATTACTGCTATCTGTATTACTGCTATCTGTATTACTGCTATCTGTATTACTGCTATCTGTATTACTGCTATCTGTATTACTGCTATCTGTATTACTGCTATCTGTATTACTGCTATCTGTATTACTGTCTGTATTACTGCTATCTGTATTACTGCTATCTGTATTACTGCTATCTGTATTACTGCTATCTGTATTACTGCTATCTGTATTACTGCTATCTGTATTACTGCTATCTGTATTACTGCTATCTGTATTACTGCTATCTGTATTACTGCTATCTGTATTACTGCTATCTGTATTACTGCTATCTGTATTATGCTATCTGTATTACTATCTGTATTACTGCTATCTGTATTACTGCTATCTATCTGTATTACTGCTATCTGTATTACTGCTATCTGTACTGCTATCTGTATTACTGCTATCTGTATACTGCTATCTGTATTACTGCTATCTGTATTACTGCTATCTGTATTACTGCTGTCTGTATACTGCTGTCTGTATTACTGCTATCTGTATTACTGCTATCTGTATTACTGCTATCTGTATTACTGCTATCTGTATTACTGCTGCTATCTGTATTACTGCTATCTGTATTACTGCTATCTGTATTACTGCTATCTGTATTACTGCTATCTGTATTACTGCTATCTGTATTACTGCTATCTGTATTACTGCTATCTGTATTACTGCTATCTGTATTACTGCTATCTGTATTACTGCTATCTGTATTACTGCTATCTGTATTACTGCTATCTGTATTACTGCTATCTGTATTACTGCTATCTGTATTACTGCTATCTGTATTACTGCTATCTGTATTACTGCTATCTGTATTACTGCTATCTGTATTACTGCTATCTGTATTACTGCTATCTGTATTACTGCTATCTGTATTACTGCTATCTGTATTACTGCTATCTGTATTACTGCTATCTGTATTACTGCTATCTGTATTACTGCTATCTGTATTACTGCTATCTGTATTACTGCTATCTGTATTACTGCTATCTGTATTTTGTAACGGAATACGTCTGAAAGGAGTTTTGAATAAATATGTGGACGGCTAATTCAGGTTGAGCTGCAAGCTATCTTGAGGTTATCTTGAGATGATATCGGGGCTTAGCGTCTCCGCGGCCCGGTCCTCGATCAAATGTTATCTTGAGGTTATCTTGAGATGATATCGGGGCTTAGCGTCTCCGCGGCCCGGTCCTCGATCAAAGGTTATCTTGAGGTTATTTTGAGATGATTTCGGGGCTTAGCGTCTCCGCGGCCCGGTCCTCGACCAGGCCTCCTTTTTGTTACACATCCCCAGGAAGCAGCCCGTAGCAGCTGTCTAACTCCCAGGTACCTATTTACTGCTAGGTTAACAGAGGCATCAGGGTGAAGGAAACTCTGCCCATTTGTTTTCCGCCTCCACCGGGGATTGAACCCGGAACCTCAGGACTACAAATCCGATGCGCTGTCCACTCAGCTGTCAGGCCCCTGCAGGGTTTATGGTTACCTCAATTTGCCTCGGGAGATGTCGTGGGTCCCCAGAGCTGAAGCCCAACATTGGAGTCACCAACACCAACACGAAGTGATCCATCTTGTCGTAAAGTTATCTTTTGAGATGAAACTTCATTCCAAGATTTTGCATACTTCCTTACGGGGACGTGAGGTTTAGCTCCTGGGCCCCGCCTGCTGGCCTTGTTGTACCCGTTCATGCTCCACTATTCTAACAATCACTATCCTTGTTGAACCTGTCCTTGAAGCTGTGGATGGAGGTGGCTTCCACAGCTTCTATCCTTCAGTCCATCCCACTTGTCGACCGGCCGTACAGGGTACTGGTATCTCCTTACGTTACTTCGACTGTTAGGGTTCGATCCCCGGTGGAGGCGGAGACAAATGGGCAAAAAGTTTCTTTCACCCTGATGCCCCCTGTTCACCTAGCAGTTAATAGGTACCTGGGTGTTAGTCAGCTGTCACGGGCTGCTTCCTGGGGGTGTAGGCCTGGTCGAGGACCGGGCCGCGGGGAGGCTAAGCCCCGAAATCATCTCAAGATAACCTCAAGATATAACTCAAGATAACCTCAAGATAACCTCAAGATATAACTCAAGATAACCTCAAGATAACCTCAAGATAACCTTAAGATATAACTCAATGTAATGATCTGGTGCTCAGATCATTGGTTCTCCCGTCTCCCCCTCCTTTCCCTCTCCCTTTCTCCCCTTTTCTCCCCTCCCCTTGCCCGTCATTCGTCTCTTCCTCTTCCCCCCCTCCCCAACCACTTGTGTGAACGATCGGGGATTGAGCGCCGACCTGCACGAGACCGTCACTCTACCGTCCAGCCCAAGTGAAGAGTATTAAACTAGTTATTTTAATGTGCACAAGGTTTACATGTTACTTGTCAATTTACACATTTAATATACACACATAGGGAGCCGGCGGCTGAGCGGACAGAACACTGTACGCGTGATCCTGTGGTCCCGGATTCGATCCCTTGCGCCGGCAAGAAACAATGGGCAGAGTTTCTTTCACCCTGATGCCCCTTTTACTTAGCAGTAAATAGGTACCTGGGAATTAGCCAGCTGTCACGGACTGCTTCCTGGGGGTGGAGGCCTGGTCGAGGACCGGGCCGCAGGGACACAAAGCCCCGAAATCATCTCAAGATAACCTCAAGAAGAAGATGGTTGTAAACATGAGCCCTCTTTCAAATATAACTCTGGCGTCCCCATTGAAGGGAACCAAAGCGTTTGTGCCCGAAACGCTTTGCGTAATAGTGGCTTTAGGCATTGTATGTACTAGCTCTATCTATAAATTCAGCAATATCTGTATCACCCCTTGTGTGTATGTACTTTACCTAAATAAACATTTGAAATTTGAATTTTTTTGAATTTGAACCCACATCCCACTGACCACACATCCTGCAGGCCTAAGTGGCTAAGGTGGCTAAGTGAACAGCGCTCGGGATTCGTAGTTCTAGGGACCGGGGATCGATCCCCGGTCAACCCCCCGCATGTACAACTAGGTGAATACATAAGAAAATCAATAGAATATTAATAGAGCTGAAACTCTATACTTCACACATACTCGCGCTATTAAAATACTCCAAAACAAATAAAATTAAAATATTAAAATTAAATATTAATTTACGCTATTAAAATATTCCCAAAAAGCGAGTTTAGGCCGACATGACCAATAAGATGACAGAATTCATTTTGGATTCTGTGGTGTTGTTACTCTAAGTATTTTACTCCTGTTGATAACCTGTGTGAGTAATTGGCATTATTGCTAACTGTTATGATCCACTAATTACTCTGGATCCTAATTAGGTTAATTACCATAACTCTTGCCTTCTCAGATATATTTGTTTAGCTCTGGTTTTTCATTGAATAAAAAAATATTCAGTTGCAGTGTAATGTTGAAGTATCGTTACACACAGAAATAACAATAGCGTGATGCATCAAATGATCAAATCCACAAGGGCCGTGACGAGGATTCGAACCTACGTCCGAGAGCATCCCAGACGCTGCCATAATCGACTGAGCTACGACATGGTCAAAAGAATTGTAACCAGAAGTTCTACTGAACTTACATTTTGCTCAGTTACAATTCTTTTGACCATGTCGTAGCTTAGTCGATTAATATCAGGCTGCGTCTGGAATGCTCTCGGACGTAGGTTCGAATCCTCGTCACGGCCCTTGTGGATTTGATCATTTGAAGTATCGTTATTATTGGTAATATGTGCATGCTGTATTGTACAAACAGTTGTATTTCTATTTACGAAAATGTGTGGTGGACCATCAGACGCGGCTACAGGCTTTGGACAGGTCCGCCACTTTAACCGTATCGCGTGAGCACCAATTATTGATCACGAGAACCAGTTAACTGTAGCGGATTTTCTGCTTCATTACTTATATAGCAGTTGCAGGCGATGAGTCACAATAACGGGGCTGAAATATGTTGACCAGACCACACACTAGAAGGTGAAGGGACGACGACGTTTCGGTCCGTCCTGGACCATTCTCAAGTCGATTGTCTTGACACACAATCGACTTAAGAATGGTCCAGGACGGACCGAAACGTCGTCGTCTATGTTGCAGTTATATTGGGGTTTTGGGTCCCGGTAGTACAGTGGGGTTCGGTCTGGACGCATAATCGAGAATTCCGGATTCGAATCCCGGCGGGGGCAGAAATGGTTGCGTTAGGAACGAGAGTAATTCATGTACTGGTTTGACATAGATTGTTTAATCTCATCAATGAATGTGTTTTGTCCAAGTAATTTTGTTCAAAATCGGAGCCTCTCATTGTGTTATTATTATTAAATAATAATTATAATTATTACTGTATAGCATCAGTGGTGATTATTTTTCAGTGATTACGATCTGACCTGATCTGACCAGGGAGTCTGACGGATGAGTGGACAGCGTTCGGGTTTCGTAGTCCTGAGGTTCCGGGTTCGATCCCGGCGTCACGTTCGCCGCCACAGGTGAGAACGTGGTTGCAAGGGGCCCCACAAGTGAGAACGAGATGTGATGGGTCCACAGGTGAGAACATGGTTGGGAAAATGGGGAATAAACGTGTGTGATGGAGACTATTCAGCCAGTTCTCCAGCTCTCTCTCACTCTCACACGTGTCTAGGTATGTACCTAACATACATATGGTCGACATATGCTTAACTTTACTAATATTCATTCTTACTTCATCTTACCGAGTCTGATGAAATAGGGATTACGTCCCATAGCTTCCCGGTGGAAGAGTTTTGTTTAACCTATTTGAGTTCCAGATGAGTGAAAGTTTACCCTTATTTGAATACCTGGCCAGCCCATTGGCTGGCTAGAATAGCACGTTAAAAGCACTACAATCACCTTCTGTTGTTGATTGTTCAATATATCACTAAACTATATGTTTAATAAATCTCTAACCCTGTCCATGGAGGACAGAAGAAAATGTATATATATGTTGGTTAGTATTGTAAATGTCAGGCCACGTCTGTGGTAGAAAAAACTACAAGAACAAATATTTAACCAGAGTCTAGAAACTAGTGTCTAGAAACACTAGAGAGGCACTTAGACCCTTCCCTCTCTCGTCTACTTGTCTAAAGAGGTCGTTAAGCTCGACCATTGTTTGGAAGGCCAGCCCGTGACCGCCTATCTAGAACCGGCCAGGTACCCCGGGGGTTACTATTCTAATGACCCTCTCTCCCAACATCCTAATAAACACTTGGGTTGAATTATCTCACACGTTCCGGCACGCAACGGAGCAACATTTCTCTGCCATTACAAACTTTCTAGTTTTCAGGCGGAGTGATGGAGGAGGAATTATCAAGGAAGAGCATCAAGCAGTTACAACTATATAGCACTGGGAAGGGGTCAGGGTAAGGATTTGGGATGGGACGGGGGAAAAGAATGGTGCCCAACCACTTGTCTGAACGGTCGGGGATTGAACGCCGACCCGCATGAAGCGAGACCGTCGCTCTACCGTCCAGACCACGTGGAGTGAGCCAAGATCACCATCAAACAGTATTGTAGGCCACTTAATTCGTTATTTTTAGGAATCCCGAGGCCTTTATTAGTGTTGTAATCAGTAAATGGTTGCAATATGACATTGTATTTAAGGTACGTGCATGAAGTATGCAAATGTGCCTTCTCTTTCGTACCTGCGAGAATTATATCACACAGGTGTATGTATACAAGGTATTTTAGTGGCTATGTATACTTACCTAAATGTGATTACAAGATACATATGTATGAATTGCATTTAGCAATAAATTAGGTATAATTTTTCACTTGGATGTCATATCTAAGACAATTATTTCTCACAACTATTTCCACGAAGTCATCTTGAGGTTATCTTGAGATGATTTCGGGGCTTAGCGTCCCCGCGGCCCGGTCCTCGATCAGGTTTCCCTTTTTTTACACATCCCCTGGAAGCAGCCCGTAGCTGCTGTCTGACTCCCAGGTACCTATTAACTGCTAGGTGACTAGGGGCAACAGGAGTGAAAGAAACTCTGTCCATTTGTTTCCGCCTTCGCCGGGGATCGAACCCGGAACCTTAGTACTACGAATCCCTAGCACTGTCCACTCAACCTCCTAGAACTGAGGATTTCAGCTTAACAGGCTAGCCACATGGCTCCTGTTAGATTTAAATTTCGACGTATGATAAATCCTGTTAATCCCCAAATTTGGCCGTGTACATGCCTGGTCCTACGTCGTATAGGCGTCGACGCGGTCCAAGGCCCTGTATATCACCACCCTATTGGCTGTTATCATAGGTTGTTATTATAGGCTGTTATCATACGCTATATAACAGAAATCACTGCAGAAAAGTGTGGCACTCGACTACGCATATAATTTAATGCAACTGAATGTCCTACTGTAATGCTGCCTCACCAGGCTTCCACAAATCACTGTAACTTCCTTGCCCATAGTGTCCCGGGGTCAGGCAGCCAGTGTATGTATACATGTTAGGCTTATATCAACGTCCTTCTTCCCCCTCCCCCTCCCAAGGTAGGCCTACTGACCTATCTCAGGGTTCAGCCCCCCGTAACAAGTTGCTAACTCCTGGGTACCTATTTACTGCTAGGTGGACAGAGGCATTAGGTGA